AAAGAGAGACAGGGTAAGTGCATGTTTTATCTACAAAGTCGTTGCGGACATTGAGTTAAATGAAATACTTTGATAGATTAATTAAACTTTAACTCGTATGTCATTCTAAATATTGATTTCTTATATTTAGAATCGAATCGGCAGGCTGTTGGAATTCGGTCTCTACCTGCAAAATTAAAGTGGACCAACAGAGGATGCTAAATTTTGGGTTAAAGGCCCATGATGTTCCTTAAACGTTGCGGCCAGCTCAACCCATAATAATTACATTCGTTACAAAGACCGCAACGTCTAAGTAACGACTATGAATAACCCAACGACTAGTTTTTTGTCCTTTTTTATGTAACCATCAAACGTGTCATAATGACATGTCAGTTATTTCGATATCATTATGCTATAAATATTTGACGTTCGAATATTAGTTCGAGTATTAACATTCTTTCTTAATCCACTGTTGCACGCGCAGCTGAACCATTTTAAGTCGGAAGTGAGAAAAAGAAGTTGCAAATCAATGCCGTTCCGAAGATACTGCATCCTTGTAGACGGCTTTTATTATAATGTGATATTGGCGGTCCAGGAAAATTACGCCAAAAGTATTGCCTTACCAAAATAAAGGTTCGCTATGTCTGAATGGTGTAGCTTGATGGAATACAGAGATGACAGCTTTATCATGCCTTTTCATGTGTATGATAAAAGTATGGTTGGACGGTGTAAGTCCGCAACCACATTCCTCGACTTGCAACGTTGCAGACTTCCTGTCATAAATTGATTTATACTTGGATGGAATACTACTCAACAGGGCCAGATTTAGGGGGTGGCCACATGGGCCGCGGCCCATGGTGGCAAATTTTGCAATTTTTTTAAAATTTAGATATAAAAAAATCGGATAAAAAAAAAAAAAATAGAAACGAGAAAAGGCGACAAAATCTCTCATTTCCTGAGAGTATAGTAATTTCTAATTTTGTCGTCTATCGATGATACAAGAGACAACACTTGTACCTTTAATTAGTCGAGTTAAGAGAGAGACCAAACTCGCAATTTGGCCTGGAGCGGCGCGGCACAAAGCAATGATGACGATGACTTAAGATGAAAAGAAGAAGCCCTCGCCGCGGCGGCGCCAGCGGTCGGCATGTAAGCGCCTACAAGACTGCATAAATACTTCACGCATTGCGCCAGACACGGCGCGGCGGCAGAAGTTAAAATTAACAAACCAAATACATGTTTGTTTTTTCACAATTTTTTCGTTCATTTCTTACAAATGGAAGACCTTGACCACACAAAGAGATAGTTTTACGAAACTCAACTTTCGCGCAAGTTTCGTGAACTTTTGCTGGTAGTGTAAACAGGGATTTCGCAAAAAATGTGCGCAACACGAGTAATCGCGTCTTATGCACCCCTCCCCCTCCGACACGTTTACTTGATGGTTTTCATTGAAGTTTCAGAACGAATGAGAAGGGAGCGGCAAAATACAAGCGGCCCATGGGCGGCAAGTACGTAAATCCGGCCCTCCTACTCAATGAAGTACTCTTAGACTTCCCATAATTTTCCCTCTCTGTGCTAAGAAACTTCCGTGGGAACTTCAAGGAATATCGTCAATTTGATCTCCTTCAAAAAAATAAGATAGGAGCGAATATTTTCAAACACCGCAAGGGAGGTACGAGGTTTCAGACTTTCTCAGTCGAGTTGCGCTTTCTAACCGAACATTTTTTATGAACGAGAATCGACACGAGAAGCCGATGAGAGTTTGCAGGTTGTGCACGTTGTTTCGCCTTCAATTTTTGTAGTAGACCAAAAAGTATCTTTCGTGCTTCATTAGTTATCGTGTTCAAAGAATCGTGTCTTTTCGTCTCGGCTCAATGTGTTGTATTGTGATTTAGACGCTCACAATACTGCCGTGCTAAGGAAGAACACCGTATGAACCCCCAGACGTTGCTACATTTCCTTCAAAAAGACCTAATTTACTGGCAAAATGTGAATGTTTTTCTTCAACTTTTTCAAATAATTTTTCTCGCAATTTTGTCTAAAATGGCTGAAAATATCAAGGAAAACCCCGCTTAATCTTTCTCAAATACACATATTTTATCCAGGGCGAGTTGACAATTCTCGAATATTCATACGACGCTCTTCCTTAGTGCGGCAGAATACATCATATGCTCCCGTCAAAATATTTATCATATTGAAAAATAAATTATGCAAGAAAAAATAATTCATTCACGGATTCCTCATCTGGAAACAGTGTCTCCTCGTCGTATTATTTACAGCAAGTGCCACTGGACGAAAGAATCCAATGCAAAGTTTCTTAACCCGTAGCTCTTTTTTTGTATTATTGCAAAACCCTGGAATTTGCCAACAAGCCCGCAACAATATTACTTTTATGCCTCTGAGCAGTAGCTCCACAATAAAAAGGGTGAAGGGTGTGGCGCTCAAAAATCTGATCATTACACAGCCTAATAATGCATCTGGAGCAAAGATGACCGGCAAATTAATGCTCTATTGTCCACTCCCGCCCTCTAGACGCAATAAGAGCGGTAATTCAATTTGAACATCAGTTGCCAGTGGCGAACAGAAATTACTTACCGCGAGAAGTAATTTTAATTTGGAAATATTCGCACAAATTATCGTGAGGATACGGCATCGTTGCTCAAGAACGTTCGTTTCCAACTCGTCAAAATTTCATTTGGAAGTATTATGCTAAAAGGAACTATGTCAAATGCAAACCCTATGCTCATAGTTCCTTTTAGCATAAATACGTCCGTTTGTAACTTGATGGGCTGAATTAGCTGGATACGCTAATGAGCCCTGAATTATTGATGCGCTGGAACTCAACCCGCCGAGCGGTCAGTATTGGTGACCCCTCGATATTTTCCAAAAAACGCTTTTTGTATCGACCCTTCAAGTAAGACGAGAAGGAAAATAAGTCAAGTCGTGATCATCCGCGCGACTTGCAAAAGACGGGGATGGCCTTCGGATGGTCGCTCATTCCTTTGCCTCGTTTCCGGGTTTTTTGTTCTTGACTCAATATTCCGGACGAGTTCAAAAGGTAATGATTTTTGGTTACCAGAGGTGAATCTACGGTTTGTCGAACTCATTCCAGGCTTACCGTATCGGTTTAAATAAGATGAATTCAGGCAAAATCTCTCTCTTGTATGTTAAAAAACATTATTATACGCATTTTTCATGAATATTGTGGCATTCATGATTTGAGACTAGCTAAAGGCTACATACAATTTTCCTTCATTTGCGCGTTACACCACGTTCCACTCCGGATTTTGAGCGCTTAATTTCTGAATTTAACTTTTAGTAATATACTTACATTTATAAATGTCAGTAATTTAAGCTAGGTAGGCAAAAAGCCAATATTTTCCCTCTTTTTAGCGTGATGCCATAAGCCTTCTCCGGAGCTCGAATTCCCACATTTGACTATTGAGCATCATACTTAGCAACTTATATCCATAAACGTTGCATAATAGATCAAGTCAACAGGAGAGATTCGACGAAATTTGGAAACTTTAAACGTGTATAACTCCGTTTTTACAAAATTTTGAGGTTCTAAAAGCGATTTCACTGATTTCCTCATATAATTTTCATCCAAAAAAACCCTTGAAATTTAAAATGTGAAGAAATAAAAGTCAAAATTTGCAGTTTTAGTCAAAAATTTCATGTCCGACTCTCTGGTAGACTCAATCCACTGTGCGTCGGAAATTTGAAACAGGCTAAAAGCTATAATATTTTCCTCCATTTTCGCGTGATAACACATATACCTACTCTAGAATTTGAGTAGTTGCGCGCTTAATTTCCACAATTGACGATGCGAGCATAATATTCATAAACGTCAGTAATTCGTGACAGGCGAAAAGCTAAGATTTTCCTTCATTTTCAAGTGATACCACATGCCTACTCCTGAGTTCGAATAGTTGCGCATTTGATTTCTTTATTTAAGTGCGCGAGCATAATACTTAAATTCATCATTCATGAAACGGTTATTTGAGAAAAGAGATAATATCGCAAGAAATACGCGATTTTTTCATGTCAGTATCGCAGATAAAACGCGCGTTCCATGGGTTTTTTTTAAGTGCATACTTGCACCGTATTATTGAGTCACAAACTGTGTGTGAACTTTGATGCCTCAAAATCATCAGAGTGTCAGCGCGGAGGACAAATAACTGGCATTTTTTATCCTCAAAGTTGTGTTCTTGTGCATCTTACGATGGTCGGTGTCCAATAGGTCTTTCAAAACCTATTGCACTTTGCCCTTTTGTAACCTTGATCCCTATTTGCAATCTAGCATTATTTTGAAATTGAAGCGATGACGCCTCCAACACTTTCGGATCATCGAGATATATAAAATAAAAAAATGGTTAGAGAAGAAAGAAAATGTGAGAATGTAATCAGTTATAAATTTGCACCTAAAATGATTTTCATACAACATGTGCTAATGTCGGAATGAATCATGATAATGTCACGATCGAGACTTAGGACCTTCCTGGAATAAGTGTAAAGTCCGGATAATTTATGCAAACCAACGCTCAAATAATGATACAATATCAAGGAATGAAGCACATTCCTCGCTGGATTTCAAATGAGCCTGTAATGCGTAAAAGCATAAGTTTAAAGTATGCAAGCGCCCTCTCCGTTTCACCACTTGATCTTTGGCACAGAAAGAATTTGACTAAATATACGCTTATATGGTCACAAAATCGATTTCAATAATCGATTCGGGCAGTAAGAGGTGCGAATAATCGATTTGTGGATAGTTGACAATTTATTATAACTGTATTCCAGGTACTTGTTCTTCTTCAGTCCAGTCGTTATTTGCTATATAAGCGGATTTATCAGATGCCCTCATATTTTGTTTCACTGTTCGTTAATTAAAGTAGAAGAAAATGAGGGACTAGAAGAACATTTTAAAATAGATGGATATATGCATTGCTCTTAAAGGAATTCAAGATTTTTTAGATAATAAGAGAACGGGAAGGAAAAGGGGGGAGGGGGAAAGAGGAGAATGAAAGAGTATGAAGATTTTATTTGGGCATTTTGTGGTTGAAAAACTGAATAATGAAAAAAATACGAATACAATCCACATATGCTCACATCCTCTTCACAATAATCTGAAATTGTCTCTTGTCAAACAATAACTTGCACAATGCTTTTAGAGCAACCTTAGCTAAAGTTGAACAACTCGATTTCCCGTGTTCCTCGATAGTTAGTTATTTTTCTACACTTTTTATCGTGTAGTTTGATCTTATTTGCAAAGTTTCTCCTGATAATTAGTCATTACAATTTTTCTCTAAGGGTGTTCAAACTATTCTAAAAACTAAAATAGCGTTCTTGTATCAATTTTAGAGGGTTCTCAAACTAAATCATATAAACATGGCCTCTCATTGATTCAATATGAGTGATTCAAATTATACGAAACTAAACATTATCAGGAATACGAGAGATGGGTTTCGGTTTGATACAATGTTACCTATTTTATATACGTCAAATGCTGCTTAGACGTCTGACCAAGATCTGAGCATTTTAAAATTAAATCCATAGACTCTAATTTGGTATCCCAGATGAAATGAGGTGGCGGATTTGGGAAAGAAGAATTTTAGTTGAGTTGCACCAAGACCATGAAGTAAGTCACCACTGCTCCAAGAACCTGAAAATCGTATGAGATTATATTATTTACATGTGTATATGAGTTTGGTTTGATTATTTCCGGTCTTGTTCGATTCCTCACGGCGTTCAGAGAGGATCTAGTTCATGTAATACACCAATTGTCTAATAAAAAAAATAATAATAAATACAGATAAAATCTATCCCCAGTCAAAGTTTCTCCGTTCAAAATTGACAAGGTTATTTGCCTTGCAATATAAAAAAAAAAAATATGCGGACGACGTCATCATTTGATCCAGCTATCGACAACATCTCCTTTATGTACTTTATATAAAATCCTAGTAATTAGACTGACGGCTATATTTTTTACCAAGATTCATTAATCAAAATCCAAGAAAACTTACGAAAATGCAAGTCTGACGAAGTTAAAGAATTGTTAATCTTTCAAGTGGTTTTTGATCCTAACTCCGCTATTTTTTGTACTGCCCTTGTGATTCGTATGAAATTAATTACTGATGGACTGTCAAAACGATAAAATTTGCAACCATTCAAATCCATAGCGGAATTTACTTTGCATCCTTCATAATCTAATAAGATTATTATTTTAATCATAACGGTGAAAATAAATCAAATGCCTTGAAAATGACATTGCGGCAGTATTTTTTTAAACCAAGAAGCCAATCCGCATCTGAAACGCTTTTCTTTGAATCGTCGGATAGAATTTAAAAATGAGATTATTCATAATTCTATATGATCGTATTTTTAAATGTGTTTCAGTTTTCTTCGAATTACTCCAAAAACTTGCATGATTCATTGCAAAACCTTGAAAACATATCAAAATGAATTTCTCTGAAATCGGTATTTTCATCTGTGCTTATCACCCAATGAAATGAACGCGTCCGTCTTAGCAAGCAAAATCTCGATGAAAACGCATGGGATAAGGCTTTGCGGGTGGAGTCGATTTAAATGAGAACACTTTATCAACATGTTTAACTTGAGATCTTTTTCCTACTCTCCCACAGGAAAGTTAGCAACCGATGATACATCTGTTTTTCAAAGAAACATGTTTAATTCAAAGAATTTTAACTAAAATAATGTTCTCAAAGTCACAAGTTTACAACGATACATGTATGAAGGAAGATAACCTGACACTTTCAGCGATAAGGAATTGACTCGCTAAAAGATATGTAGACTCTTTTTTTTTTATTTTTTGAGTATAAAAGAACCGATTATCGAAGGAAAGTTGCGAACAGTGTTGCCAACAAAAGTACGAAAAATTTGTGTTTAGGTATTTAGAGCTGGTTACATTAAATTTGTGGATACTTACTAGAATGATTGTGCCTGAATGATCTCTTTGATTTCATTTTTTTTGTTAAGATCAAGCAGCCTATCAAATGATCTATTCCTTTTTTGCACCAAAAGTAACATGAAGATGTATTTGAACTCCAGGATTTTTTTAGGAAGCGTTTTGCGAAAAGGTAATTTGAAAAACTTGTTTCAAATGTTTTTAGGTTATTATAAATAATTGCATTAAAATAAAGGGGGAGGGATAGGTTAAATATGAATAAAGAGCGTTTTCCTTGCCTTTGTTCTATCAGTATTAACGATCGAGTAAAGAAAAGTAGGTGTTCCTTGCACATTGACGAGCAAACTGAAAATCTACGGTGAAACTACCAGACCACGTTTGCGGTGTTTAAATACCTCCGCTCCCATTTTATTTTGTTTAGGGAGAACAAATCAATATCATTCCTGGAAGTTTTCATAGAGATTTCTTCGCATAGAGAAGAAAAATCAAGGAAGTTTTCAAGAATTGATGTTGAGTGGTTCTCCACTTGGAAAATACGGTATGCCAGGGAGTCCGTGACGTCACAAACCGAGATACGTGGTCTGGTAGTTTCACTGTCGAAATGCAACAATTTGTTCTTTAACGTCAAGCTTTATATCCTCTTAGATGATGAGTAAGTTAAACGTGAGCTGAGCTCAACGTTCAACTCAGGCATTGGAGGCGTGGGTGTAAAACGTGCTTTTTATCGAACAATGAGATTTTTTCACGAGTATTTCGTCGGGAGAGCGCATCGTACACAGACTTTTCGATAAGCTTTGAGACATTCAAACTGCACAAAAAATATAGCTAATCACAATATTTCCCTCTCACGCGGTCTACTGATGGTAGATTTGAAACGTTGCTTTATTCTCTCATTCAATTCCTAGAATGAAAATATTGACCGTGCAAGGATTTTGCACTGGCAAACCCATGTATTATGTTCCTTGAAGTCGATATCCCGGAGATCACTTGGGTTTTTTTCTGTAGTTTTTTCATCGGCGAAATAAGTATAATAATTCACTGGGATATTTATGAATATTTATATGCTTGCTTGGCACCCCTGCAATTAACTGAGCCCAAGATAAATGACCGACCAGACAGCGCGGGCTTCGATTTTCGTCAGCTCAACCTTGATCTGCCGACCATAAGTGAGTCATTGCTTGCGGCTATTTCAGTTCGCTTTTGAGCTTCGCAACGGTGGAGTGGTGATTTTGAAAATAATTATTTTCAATTTCTAGGATTTAAAAGATAGAAAATGCCCCCCCCCCCCCCATAAACGGTAAAATAATAAAATTCACTTAGGTTGTAACAGTACGCGAATTCGTTAAAAAAAGTTCGTCATTTAAATTTTTTTTTAAATGTAAAATAATTTTGATTTTGCTCCAAGCGAATATTATAAGATGAAACTTATTGAGAGCAGCTTACTGAAGCGAAGAGATCCAACGAAACCGTGAAAAACTTGGCGCCTGATATTGAGAGGGATTTCTGACACTGTTGACAAACTATTTGGACAAATGTCTTGGCCTCCTCTGAACCATCATACCATCGGCAGTCGTAAGCAGCTTCCATCACAGACGAGCTCTACAAATAATAAAAGAGAAAAAAAGACATATGACTTTGTTTAAAAATTTTGCTTATTCTGTAAATTAAGCCGTGGCAATCGTGGTATATACAGCCTACATGTATCGGCAAATAAAGAAGCGAATTCACAAGAATTGACGGATCCCAAACTTGACTCAATTAATTTGGCATATCGACGGTGAAATTACCAAACCACGTATCTCGTTTGCGGTGTTTAAAAATCTACGCTCACATTTTATTTTTTTGAAATAGACCAAATCAATATCATTCCTTGAAATTTTCACAGAATTTTCTTCGCACGAAGAGGAAAAATCACAGAAATTCTCAAGACTGGATATTACGTAGTTTTTCATTTAAAAAATAAAGTATGACAGGAAGTCTGCGACGTCGCAAACCGAGATACGTGGTTTGGTAGTTTCACCATCGATATAGGCTTTCGCTCAATATACCGCTAAAAAATCATAACACGGTCTCTGACGCATACAAGTAAATCAATTCACTGAGAACTGAGGAAAAACTATGTTCGAAATTAATATATTAGTATTATGAACCGGAATCTCATTAAAAGCTACTCCTTCGGCTACATTCTGCCTTTGCTGCAACCTGGAGAGTAAAAGAAGAACATGCCATGTTAAACCATGATGAAAAATGATACAAATTATGATGAAGTTAAACTAGTAGTAGATAATATTCTCTCCAGATTAGCTTTTATCGTGAAGATCTATTCGGAATATACAGTTTACAATTCTGTTTTTACGTATACTCACCTCTTCTATCAGCTCATTTCCGTAGATACAAAAAGCATACACTTGTATAAACGAGTATCCTAGATATCCAATCACAGACATACCAAAAACATTGATTCCAGTTATCTGGGAACACAAGAGATGCAGTTAAGAATCCAGTAACTAAGGCTTTTATACACAGCAAAGGAACCGAGTGAATCAGAGAGAAAATAAGCATGAAAAACACAGGACAATCTATGTTCTTCAGTCATGGTAGTATTATGACGTGAGTGGTTTTGATACACATGAATTCATACCACAATTAATTATTGCATGTCAAATAAAATTAAAAGCGTCTAAATCACAGAAATCAATCAGAATCACAGAATCAAATGTTCACAGAGGAAGTCAAGAATTTGAACACTAATAAAACCAGCTGGTCTTCATTATTACGATGGTCAATGCAATGTTTCCTCACGCGTGTGTTTTTTTTTTTATGTTACTAAGTATTTTCTTCTTGTGGGACAATTTTGGTAGAAAGTCAGATCAAAGAAATTTTCTCAATTTAGACGAGAGGTTCGAGAACTGGCGAAGTGTCAATTACGAGGTCTGTTAGATTAGAAACCGGATTTTGGTCATAACTAGCCCACAATGCGTCCAAATTACGTTTTCTTGAGCTTTTCTGATAGCTGAAAATATATTTAAGAACGCTACGTTCACAAATTTGAGAAATCCTAATTAGCTTCGTTGGTATGTGGCTTGAAGTAAGGCAACCTCAAGGGTGTTTTGCGATTTTTATGTTTGACCGAACTTGTCTCTCTTTTCTCGGTCTTGCACTACATTTTTCAACCCACAAGGACGATTGGAGTTGCGTTTCCATATCGTAGCCGTACATTAGAGTATTGTCACCGAAAATTATCCTATCCAAAATTGTAGGATCATTGTTAGAACGTTCAAGCAGCTAAAGGGAAATTGACATTTGGTTGGATTTTCGTTCAACGGACAACATTCAAGGGGCAAGTGTACCTGAAACTCGATGCGTGTCTACATATTCTATCAAAATTAAATGTAAAGAGCCTTCAGAAATATTACTCTGTTCAACAAGCTCGAAACGACCATTTTCGAGCACTTTTGCCCGCACTTCTTCCACGTGACAAATGTCAGTTGCCGTTGAGGGTCGATTCCCATGCTCCTCATCTTAGACGAACTCCTGACCAGTTTTGAATCGTTTAACCCATTCAAAACAGTGGGAACATCTCATTCAATGATCATGGTAAACTTTACTTAGCATATACCAAAGTTTCAGTACAAGGTATACCGAGTTTAAAACAAAATTTAATGTTTAATCTTTGCTCTATCAGTGATCGCATGATGAAAATCGCAAAACGCACCTGACTTACTCGTATTCAAGATGACACAGAATAAACACTGATCAAAATAAACAAAATCTGTGAAGGTAACGTTCTTCAGTATATTTTCAGCTATCAGGAAAGCTCAAGAAAACCTAATTCGGACGCATTGTGGGCTAGTTATGACCAAAATCCGGTTTCTAATCTAACAGACCTCGTATAATTAAGACTGGATTAGGATCACCTTTGAGCAAAAAGTAAGAATGAAAAAATATAATATGAAGCGGATGAACAGTTCGTGCATTATTACTTGCAGATTTCAAAAGTTGACTCTGCGTACCTGTGTTGCCTGATAAGCAAGGAGAGTGAGTGTAACAGTGCTGATCAGCATGTGAAGCAGAAGAGCAATACCGTACATTGAACCGATGTCATTCACAAATCTGAAATAGTTGCAACATTTAAATTATTCAACTTAACTCCTCACAGAAAGTACAGTTTTGCAATCAGAGATATTTCATTAAGAGTTTATAGTGACGATGAACCTTGAAGTTGTCCGTTTTCATGGTTTTAACTCCTTTTCACCTCCATTTATTTCAACTTTGCTCCGATTAAAATACAATCCTTTAACAGTTGAAACTCGCCTGGTGAGTTGAAAGAAATGATATCTCAACTTAATTTGAGTTGCTAACGGGGCCCACACAGAAGCTTTCAGCAACCAGCTTCTGATATTCAGAAATAACTATACAAACTGCAAATTCGCCTTCATTTAATTATGTAGGCAAAACGAGCTCCTTGGTGTTTGAATAGTGGCATTCACCTCTCTTTATGCGCGTCCTCATTATTTGAGAAGTACAAGGAAAGGGAGGTGTAAATGACGAGCATTGTCCATGCTATAAAAGTTTTAAATTTTGCAGAGGGAAAGAAGATGGATTGAAATGAAAAAGTCTGCAATACTGTTGACCCTTATGCTGCTATTCTGTAAAGTCTTGAGCTATTTTCCGAACTATTCAAGATCCATTTAGACTCGGTGTCTTCGTTCATCTAACAAAATTGAGAAATTCAGTCGCGGCAGTAACCTGGTATTACATATTTTCAAACATATACTTCAACGTGCCAACCATACTCTCAAGGTAAAATTAAATTCAAGGTATTTAATAGTTAGTAAATAGTTTTGCATGAGAGTAGCTCTAAGCATGCAGTCATGAAATTTACCTGACGACGTGTTTATGCCTTTCCACCCAATACTTGATAGCGTTTGCCACGAAATTACCATCTTTATCATTTAGCGCGTCAAAACTATTCTGCATGTTGTGAATATTTTTTCGCTGATAAACGGGGCCAAATTCTCGAATGAGGTTGTAAACTGGCTGGTAATTTTCCTCTGGCACTGGAATACGAATGAACATTAGTAGAATGTTACTATATGTAATGTCTTTAAAACTAAATAGATAGGCGTTCGAGCTAAGAAAAAGTATTAATGGTATGGTCGAGACATAAGTGCAGAAAAAAGAGGCAAAAATAAGTGGGAAATAATGATACCTGCAGTGATATCTTTGCTTAGCACCTTAATTCGTTGAAAAGTCCTAGCGATAAAATTTGACCAATTTTTATGTAACAAGATGATGATTTACATTAGAAATAAGAACAAATAGAATAAGCTGCTGAATGCTTAGCGGTCATCATTTTAAAAAATTCCAATGCTAATCAATACACTTAAGCGATCACAATGAAAACGACAATCTGTAAAGTAAAATGCTCAAAAGATGCTCAACCTAAACTAAAAACTTCGACACCCATAAGGGTCGATTGATGAATGATTGTATCTACTATTTTGATCGATATTTATTAGCATTGCGAAGATAGGGATACATTGCTCAAGATCAATTGATGACGAATCAACAAATTACCTTCTTGAAAAAACATCAACATTTCATTCTTGGCTGTCCATTTTTTGTGCATTTTATCCTTAAATGATCTATTCGAAAAAATTATATTTTTGGCACATTAGTTAGAGTAAATTATATTGGATGTTTTCCATCCAATATAATTTAAAAATGCGATTTATAATTCCAAAGGCATACCTTTCTCGTCGTCAATGAGTGGCATATCCGAGTCTCCTGAGCGCATCCTGAGTATATTCGGTTTCGGCGGAACTCCATTGTCGTAGTTGGAACTCATCTCGATCAAAGGCTTAAGGATTTCTTTCAAGTGTTTGAGTTGTTCACACGCATAAATTACAGTGCTGCAGAAGAGGGTGTCCGGCAAATTCTCGTGGGCTATCATCATGAAGAGCCAGTATAACTAAGCAAAATAACCTTAATTAAGGAACGCAAAACCCTTGTCGTTGGTCTTTGAGAACACTGTGAGGCAATCCTTATGTCAAAAAAGTTTAGGAACATATAGTCCAGGCTTGAATGAGCTTGTATGACTTCGGTTTTCAAGGGGACGACTTTAGGTCGTGAAGTTCACCATCATTGATAGTACTCTATTTAGTTTGAGAATGCATATTTTAAAATGTTGACAGTAACTTAACTTAAATTTAACTTAACTTAAGTCAATTTAATGTAAAGAGAGGCTGCAAAAAACAAAAAAGATCAGAAAATACAGAAAAAACTCGGGAAGTTTCAAATGATAAAAGTTTCATTTTCAACCAGAAACAAAAAAGCGCAAAATGAGTCGTAGATTCGCTGTTTCTGCGAGAACGCAAGACGATTTTCTTATCTTTGCGTTTTTTGCATCCCATCCTCAGATTATGTCATAATTTTCTTAGGTGCATAGCCTGTAATACTTTTGATTTTATGCCATTTAACTGCCAAAGAAGCCCAATTCCATGACTGAATAATAATGTACTAAGATACAATTTACCTGATATCCAAGGGCTACGTAGTATCCAACACCACTCTCGTAATTCCATGGGAACCAGGTCTGGATCAAAAGCTTGGGCACTCGCGTCAAAACCGTGTTATTGCGGTTCTCGGGATCGGGCATCATTCTGTAAGGCTCCTCAGCGATCGTTAACAATATCCAAGCGAAATATGTGAAGAAGGATCCACCGATTATCATGTACAACAGCTTCCGCATTCGGTATAGCGCTCTTACTTTATGCCGTTTATTTGACTCCACAAATAACGGGTGAGAATTTTCCTGTCAAATGGTAAAAACAGCAGAGACAATTAGAAAAAGAGGCAGTTTATGTTTTCCGATGAAAAAGTTTCCTCATGAAAGTGCAGGTATTTTACAGTAGAGAGTCATGAATGATTGATAATAGTTATAGCTCCATTGGAAGCTGTGGTAAAGAAATGATTATCAAGAAATTCGTTGCGAACACCCTTGTTATCGATCCTTTTCCATGGGTTAAAATGGCGGATCAATCGATACATCGCGAAGTACACCACGCAACTGGTATTTTGGTGAACTAGACAATCAATTCTCACCCAAAACCCAAAAAACATCTGACCCTTTTGAAGAAAGCTGTTTCCTCTATGACTTTGTATTGCGCCTGGAAAAATACATGTCGTGTTGAGGGAGCGACTTACTATGCAATGCAACATTTTGCTCGTGTCAACGGAAGTTTGATAGCGATTAATGCAAAACATTAAGCACAGATGCCTTTGAATACTTTATATTACGTACAATTATTAATATCATGTATTAACATGTTCGACCGGTGTACATTCCGAAAATTGAATCTCCACAATGAAACGTGTTAAGGACGTGGCAATTGAAGAAATTTCAGTACGACGAGAAATGTGTCGTTGTGACAAGAATTGAAGGGCTCGGAGGACAAGCCGCGTAAGTGCAGTTTTTGCTATTTTGAGAAATACGTGTTTGTACTTTTGGAATTACGTGGGTCTTAGGTATTTGCGGATAGAAAGTTCAAACTGACTTTTTGATGCGTAAACATTGGAATTTGGGAGCAAATTTTTTCTCAGAATATGCATTCAGACTAATTTTACTTGAAATCATTACGATTTCCATTTCTTAAAAAACTGCACTTATGCGCCTTGTCCTCCAAGCCACTTAATTATGTATTAGATGAGTCACTTGGGTTAGTTATTGGTTTCTTAACGCATTGAATATATGTTTCCCCCTCAGCGCAATAAAAACTACGAAGTAAACGGTTCCTTTATTTTAATTAGATTTGTCTCGGTGTGATCTTTCGATACGTGTGCTTAAAGAATTTTTCTTTTCCGAAACCCAGAGAATTCAGAATTCAGGTTAGGATGCACCTGAAATAGTCCCGGGGCAATTTACTGTAAAAAAACGACTTGTTTAAATCTTGCCCATGCACAAGTGAGATAGGATCCATTTTCGTGCAGTTCGGTTAAAGGCTAATGGCTAATTAATTCAAGCGTTCATTTTAAGATCTGATAACAATTTTTGCATTTTATTCTACCATTATTCGTGGAAATATTTCATATTTGATGTCTCTATCAGGTATCTAATCTCGTTTCCTGTCACTAAAAGGAATTTTCAAATTAGGTAATTATCATCTTACGTCAGACTGTAAAATGTCCATTATGATGCGATAAAGTTAAAATCTTCATCGTGATTTGTTCTTTTCCGAAGATTGAAAAGGTTTAAACCGAATTATATGCGACTTATCTCTCACACAAAAGCTGAAAAATCTCAAGACTGGGGAAAAAATATAACTTCCGGGAGAGACACGAAAAAGAGATGATGGAAAAATGAATGTAGGCGAAGAAGGCTCCACTCCCTTGTTGAGAACATTCTTTTTTTTCCTTTTCACACAATCAAAAAAGCATCAACCCTCACAGGAGCAACGGTTTTTTGAGATCAGGATTTATGTATAATCATCCGAACCCACACAGCGATTTTATTTACCAAACAGGCGTACGTAAACGTTATCACTGTGCAGGGATCATAAAGGAGCCGTAAAATATCACTCTTGTCAAATAAATTTTCTTGATTGTATTGACGCACATTTATTTTACTATCCGCATCGTTCAAGCGACCCCCCTCTTCCTGACGTTTCTTTATACCTCTAAATGAATATTCAAAGAGGAAAACCAGGAAGGAATTAAAGAAAAAATTGAAAGCTTCATTGACATCCAACCCGATAAAACCAACTCAAACGATCATTTTGAAAAAAAATGAGAAAATTGTGAGTATTACTTAATCAAGGAATTCACTCATGCTAATTTTTTAAATTTTTTCTCTTCTTACTATTCCTTTCCTATTTCCGCAGTTGATCATTTCATATGGATCATTCGAGAAAACACTCCGACGCAACTGCACAAACCCCTTCAGATATCGAGGCTATAGGCATTGATACGAAATTTAACCTTTACAGTGAAAGATTCAAGGTCATTTGAAACACTTACCATAAGCTTTGGAAACTTTACACGGGTGCATCGACAAATTAATTGATAACTTTGCTCCTAAACAAAGCGTCAGCATAATGCAGAATCAAAAGTCAATGACCAACGAGTCATGTAATGCTGAAGCAACAATTACTCATCGATTGCTGAGAAATCATAAGAATGCCGAGTTCCCACGACTATGCTCGTTAAAATTATCCTGATACTTTAGGGGTTTTAGTTGTTTTTTTCTGTATACTACCTTTTATTTCACGGCAATTTAAGGAGCAAATCAGTTTTTTGCGGTTTTTTTACGCTTAAAAATTATTGATAAAAACCGTTCGGTAAAACTCATGCTCCCTTCATTGTTCTCATTAAACGTCAAGTTGCATAATGTTTCGTGCCCACGTATGATAATTGTTGAATTATATTGAAAAGTTCAAAAACAGTCACGAATTAATACAATTGAAACAATTTTTTGTAATCTTGAGCCAATTAAAGCAGGATAAATGTCACATTAAAAGAAACATCCAAAAATTTCGACACCGGAATCGTATGAGAATAGTGCTCTTAGGCCAGGCTGCACCTTGCGAAGTGCGAAGTGTTACAAGCGTTAAGTTTGTAAAAAATATTACGTGTATGATGGTACGTCTGACAACTCCTTACTCTTAATCTCTCGCACAGTGAAAATCATTCGAGACTTCCATGCGTAGAGAAGCAGTTTAGCAATAACAAAATAACTAGGGCCGTTCCAATGCACCCCCTATAACCGCTTCGCAACTTGGGCGTTAAGCGCTCCGCGTTACTCTTAAGATTTTATATTAAGGAAACGTTCCCAACTTACTTAACGAACTTTTTCGGAATTTTGACCCCAAATCCCCCTCTTGTAACGTTTTTGCATGGTGCTCCCTATCTTTTAACACGTAAAAACAAAATTCCGTAACGCTCTCCCCGCCCCCTTCCCTATAGCGTCACGTAATTTTTGAACGATCCCCCAAAAGCAGGATATTCTGCCGTGCTAAGGGAGAACGCCGTATGAACATTCGAGAGTTGCCAAATTTCCCTCGATGAAATATTCATTTTTGAGGGAATTTATAAATAGTCTTCCTTGAAATTTTCAGGAGTTTTAGGTGAAATTGCGAGCAAAATTATCTGTAAAATTGGAAGAAAAATATTCATAAGTTTACCAGGAAATTCGTGTTTTATCAATCGAAATTAGGCAACGCCTGAAGGTTCATACGGTGTTTTTCCCTAGCACGGCAGTATTGTGATTCGTTACCTGATTCCATGAGTCCAAAACGCGGCAAACGGATTTCCCTTTGACGCTGAAATAGATGAACTTGACGATGGAGTGCGCGAAAAACAGGCATGTGATGGAGCTGGCGGTGAGCTGCTCTGTGGTGTACGACATGGTTGCAGTATGAAACACCAGGAGAAGATATTGGAACAACATGAGCGTAAAGGTGCCCCAACTGTAGATTCCACGGAGGGTGTCCAACGCCGAAGATGATTCGTCATAGTAGCCGGATAGGTAAATCCCCGAAGCGTGGATGAGTCGAATGTTGGGCAAAAGGTCTTGCACCAGACCGCGTCTACATTTCTCCAGCATTTTGATCGATTAATTTTACGTACACTACAGCCCTTAAAATACTTTTAAGTGGGCAACATTTCTTTTAGCCTAAGCAGTGTGATAGAATACAAAACGAGAAAAATACAATTGGACTCTCGAGTTTGAACGTCGAATGTGCAGATTCAGTAAACGTGCAGTTAGAAAACAACCGTAAACGACACTACATTTTACTATTGAAAGATTTTAATTTTGAATTGAGGAATTGAATTGAAAGAGCAACATAGTCCTGAAACAAAAACAGAGGAACTGAGGAAGAAATAAAAGGGGCCGCTATCGGCAGAGGGTCACAAAAGCACTTCCAGAGAAATACCCACGGGAAAAGCCGCAGTTATTTTCGTTAAACAGTTCGATGCAATTATAATTGAGATGATTCCCAAAATTATAAATTTCCCGTTGTGACAATGGTCACTCCAAAGAGAACGATCCGAACACTGGGACAAGATGGTCGGGATGGTCCGCAGGGAGTCGCGTCATCAATTATTTAAACTTCCGTGTTTCAAAGGTGGTCATCAGTTTTCCACGGCCGTAAAGTTGTAATGTGAGAACCATATAATTTTTGCTCCAACCCTCATGAATATACAACCACTCCGGCAATTACCTCCCGGTGACTGTGTCCCGAAACGCAGCTCCACGAGAGGCAAGGTAGGGGTCAAACGTCCAATGACGTCTCACCGATCAATGTGATCGATCATGAATTTCACTTACAAAACTCTGTGGGCGCTCCTTATCTCACGATGGTTCTGTCGTAAAATTTTCCATCATATACCCATTGTAACCCACATTTGGACGTATTTCTGCCAAACAGAACTACGTGCATTAAGCCACGAGCCCCGAGACCCATAAGAATACATGCTTTACAGGGCTCATGTCGTAATGCACATGGTTCCGTTTAGCAGAAATACATCCATTTAAAATTTACATCATTCAAAATTCACTTCGAAATGTTCCTCAAAAAAAAAAAAAAAAAAAAAAAAAAAAAAAATTCAGGTTCTACATGGGGTAATTTAGTGGATCAGCATCATCCCTCTACTTTCACTGTAGAATAGTCCCGAATACAATACATTTTCATGGGCGCCTTCAATCCCGTCTGATACTTCAAAAGTCACTCAGACTTAAAGATCTATGACAAGCAATTGATTTAGGTTTAATGCGGCACAGCGTGCGCCTTCAATTAGGAATGATACAGCAAGCTTACCTGTAGTTGAGATATTGTATCTCATCCGGCGCTAGGCAGGCACGCAGATCTCGACTTGCACCGGCACCGGCACGTCTCCTTCAGAAAGGAGTGATTAAGTGGCTCTTAAATATTATTGTCATAATTTTCAATGTTGATTTTATATACTTTGTCAATTAATGAACTAATCATTGAAATGCAAATCAAACACTTCTTCAGAGCTCTAAGGAGAGACAATCTGTTAGCTAGAAACTTTCCCTTACATTCGTACTCTACTCTTAAGGGAAAATATTGAAAAATCATTGAACGAACATCTTCGAACGAGCACAGTGTAACTGCTAATTTCGTCTTGAATCCTGTTCTTCAAAGAGTGATATCTCCGATAATGTTGGTGGGCGAAATCTTTTGATGTGTAATGAACTTATTTTTGCTTTTGCTAAATATTAATTTAGATCCAGCCATTTAAAAATTTTAAACGGTTTGAGTCGTGTTACGCGTCGAACTTGGAGGTAACTGCAACTTTGTGATTGGTTCTGATTATTTCTATTTTTTCCCCTTATGATTACGAGTTCCGAAAATATGATCATTGTCAGCTGAACTCTAAAAGAGATAATCAGGACCAAGCAAAACGTGAGTCCCAGCATTGACTTTCAAGAACAATTTTTTGACGTACATCGCTAACTAAAGCAAGCATCGTAGTTTTAGAACGGTCGTAGTTCATTTTCTGATGAATGACTAGTCGCTGACGGATTCAACCATAATTTCACTTTTATACTGCTGTGCTAGGGAAGAACGTCATACAAGCCTTAAAACGCCGCCAAAAATTTCATTGATAAAAAACACATTTTTTGGGTAAATCTATGAATATTTTTCCTCCAATTTTTCGGGAATTTTATTCGCAATCAGATCTAAATTATCTGAAAATTTCAAGAGACAATATTTATAATTCTCCCCAAAAATAAACAATTTATTGGAAAGAGCCTGGCAACTTTCGAATGTTCATACGGCGTTTTTCCCTAGCACGGCAGTATATGTAGCCGTCCGTGGGGAAAAGGAACGTATAGTCTTCAAAAGTTCAAAATGGAATTCTTGATATTCTTATAAAATATGACGCCCGAGAATTTTTGATCAAACTGGAGTTGGAGTGGTTTGAAGTTTGTAGTCATAAGATCAAAGTCTGAGGCCTAGTAAGTTATTCCATACATGACAGTAGAGTGTTCGCTGCTGAGGTAGAAAAATCCAGTTTTCGACCCAAAAGCGTTAAAAATTGGACGTGTTCATGCGAAAAGGAACTATGTTCCACGCAATCCCTAAGAACATAGTTCCTTTCAGCATAAATAATCCAACTGATCTACTGAAAACGTTGAATCCGTGGACTGAAGTCCTATTTCCCGCGAAAGTGCACCCATCCAACTTTTGTTAATCGTCATACATTCGTGCGCTGCTTCGATTCATCTTTGCATATTAACCCCCCCCCCCCCCCCCCCCCCCCCCCCCCCCCCCCCCCCCCCCCCCCCCCCCCCCCCCCCCCCCCCCCCCCCCCCCCCCCCCCCCCCACC